CACATACACACACACACACATACATACATACATACATACATACATACATACATACATACATACATACATACATACACACACACACACACTTGCAGCTGTGACCTACTGTGCAGGGATCATGAGTCGTAACTGCACATGTGCTAACACAAGCAGCAGTTAAAGAAGTAGAGTATCACCCAGTTTATGTTTACTATATGGCTTTCCAATCAATATTCAATATATGAAAAAACATATTCCAAAGCCAGAGACCCTCTAAACCTGTGATGTAATCAATATGTCATTGGATTAGGCACCTCAGGGAATTTTGATTTCTGGCACAATTTCTTCCGTATCAGTTATGGTTTGATGTTTAGTTTAAGCAGGGGTCACCATGCCTGATTAATTTCCTGAAAGATCAATGAACTGGCCCTTGGGTGATCGTATATATATCCTTTATTTAACCAGGTAAAAGACTCATTGAGATTAAAATCTCTTTTCCAAGAGTGACCTGGCCAAGAGGGGCAGCATGTACGAAGTTACAACAGATAAAACGCAGACATGACAGGCAGACAAATACAGCTGTAAAACACAAATAAAATGACACATTAGCCAGTCAATATGCGAAATAAAACAAACTATTAAAAATCATTCAAAACTGGCAACATTTTAAACGATTTTTGGATATACGAGCACTCTATATCTACCAATGGTGTCGTGTTCTCTGTCCTTTAAGATGGACCTGAATTCACCCATAGTGATTACATCTGAGAGTTTCAGCTCCTTCTGAACATTGTTCCAAGCTGTGGGGGCAACATATTTAAAAGCTGTTTTATCCAGTTTTGTTCTCACTGTAGGAACCAGCATCTGAATTAAATCTTGGAAGCGCAGGCCATATAGACTTTCTCTATGACACATATATGTGCAAATGTAGGAGGAAACCAACCCAAGCAGAGATTTATAAATAAAACCCAACCAATGGGAAAGTCTGCACAAATATTAAATAAACAAAAATGGCCTTTTCTGCCAACAGGTTTTTTTGTTTTTTTTAAGTCATGGGTATAGTACAGTATATAGCCAGCGGGATTGGTGGAAGTTGGTTGAAACTTGGAATGAAACTGAATAGTTTGCAGTTAAACCAAAGAGAATAAATCACAGTATATGTTAGGAAAATACTTGCAAAATGTTTAAAAAACGCAATATGAACGTATTGTTAGTTAAAGGTGGGGTAGGTAATTTTGGAGAAACCAGCTCGAGTGCGCTAGAATTTGAAAATACACAGAAATCTGCCACTTCCTTACAGAGCCCCTCCTCCAACACACACGAACGTGCACATGACCAATGAGGGCACGAGATAAGTTTGTGCACAGATGGAAGGCTGACAGGCAGGTAGGCCATCCAGTTATTTTAGCCGGGCCGGCTCAGATGATTGGTCGTGCTTTTTACAGTATACGGGTTCCACAGATGACATTTTTTTATGGATTTTTTGTCAAAGCACTTCAGATATTCATTGCTATCGGGATGTTAAGAGCATTCCATGGAATATAACAAAAAGTGTATCTCGAGCCGGTTTCTCAAACTTACCTACCTCACCTTTAAGTGTTTTATTGGAGCATTGTAGCACTATTGGAGGAGCCTGGTACTTAACTTTTCATTGCCAACAACTATCCTGTAGCTATTGTGTATATGACAGTAAAACCTTTGAATCTTTATTCTATTTCTTGACTGAAGCTGTATTATGTAGTTTTGTTTATTTAAAATATAAAATCAGTTTATCTCACAAAAATGTCAATCAAATCCAACCTCTTCCTGACTCTGGGCTCCTCATCGTTGACTGCCCCCACCAGGGCTTCCAGCAGCAGCCCCACACACTCCCCCAGTGAGTGGCTGCACCGGGCCAGCAGGTGTTCCCCCAGCTCCACCATCTCCAGCCGGACCCTCCAGTGCTGGTGAGCCGAGGAGCAGGAGATGATCTTCTTCAGGAGCGAAGAGAGTCTCCCCGCGGTGCTCTTCACCCAGTCCTGAGAGCGATGGACCATCAGCTGAGAGACTCTCCCCAGGTCTGGTGGGGCAGTCCTGCAGAGCTCACCGGCCTGGAGCTGGGCGTCCTCTATCACCAGCCCCACAGTCCTGTACCAAACCTGAATGAGAACCACAGTAAAGGAGATAAAAAAAGGAATTACATATTTAAAGTGATTTAAACACTTTTGTTTCACTCTAAAGAAGAGAAGACATGTTTGCTTTACGCAATTTTATAATGATGTGTTTGTCATAACCTAAAGCCTTTTATTCAAAAGCATTTGGTGGCAAAGAGGAGTTATTACAAATCTATACAAAGATCGTTATACTCTCTGTAAAACTGGAAAGGTATGATGGACATTCTCCTTCGGCATTTTTTATTACAGTACGATGCTTTTTAGCTGACGATCTTATCCAAAGCAACTTACAAACATTCAATACTCTAGCAATTTGAGTTCAACAGTACACTTCAACATGTTAGCTACAGGGGCTGGGATTGAACAGCTGACATTCTCATTGGTCGATGCTATTTAGCCCCTGCGCGAGTTTAATTAATTCAAAATTAAGTAAACAACAACAATTCAATGAAAAACACATAAAGTCTACTGATATATAAAGTGGGTGATTCTGTAAACATTTGTCATGAATTAAAATAAATAACTGCATCCTGCCTTTAACGTTATATGTGGCAGCGTAAAAAAGCCCCTGAAACGACATGAAGACTATCAAGGGCACAATGTATACCGTATATTTCCAGTATATAGTGTTAGGATACACTTGAAGTTAATATGACAAAAACATTATTTTCTATCATCTTAAACTTTTGGACTGTGAGTTCAAACTAAAAGATGTTTTGATGAAGTTATGAGAAATAATCAACGTATTGACCAATGATATAAATTACAAGTAACCAAATAACTTTGTAGTCTCTAAAAGATAAGAAAATAGTCAACTTGTCAAAAAAAGAAATGTAGTAAGTATTCATATATATATATATATAATATATAAGAAGCTGCAAGTATCAGTTGTTTAGCATTTTTGATTACAAATGGATTAGGAATCCTTACTCACAGTTTTAATAATAACACTAATTGTGTAGTAATCTATTATGTATGTGGAATTCATTCATAATTCAATAATACAGGACTAAATAAAGATTCAGACCTGAGATGCCTCACCACAATGAATGACCTGTAGCAAGTTTTGTTACAAAATGCGAGCTTGCATCATCACATAGGGAATCAAAGTGAACACGGTTACCTTTATCGCCCTGACTGTCACTGCATGGCCATGTCTCAGATCTCCTGTAATGATCCTAGATACAGCCATGGTAATCCCAGGTAAGAATGAAGCCATGGTGCTGCCTAGAGCACCTCTCTCCTGTGACGATGGGACTACATGCTCCTGAGTGCAGTCACACTGCAGAGTCAGAGCCTGGAGGCACTTCAGCGCTGCCAACTGTACGTCTCGAGATCTCTCCTTCTCTCCCAGAGCCAGCAGCAACGATATGGCAGATCCAATGCCGGGAAGCATGATCGGTTCAAAGAGTTTGAAGATGATATCACCATAAGCGGCATGAAGCAGTGCGTCCAGGCACTTCAGCACGGCAGATTTCAGCTCCTCTGAAGTCTCTGCAGGTTTCCCAGGATCGGTAGGAGTGCACAGGCAGAGGCAGAGCTCTGACAGGAGGTCCCGGAGAGTCTCCCAGCTCTGGACACACGTGGTCTCCAGGACGTGGCTCATGGCCTCAGCCACAGCCTGCACCAGTTTGTCCTTCTTTGTCCCAGGGACTTTGAGTACGAAACGAAGAGGGAAGAGGATGTACTCTTGGAGCTGCTGTAACGTGGCATCGTCGATTTCTTTTAGCTGAGCGCTCAGCGTCTCCACGTCGGTCACAGTGGGAGCTTTGGTGAGGAGGACACAGGCCGGGCGCAGGTAGGCAAAGGCGATCTTTGGATCACTGATCTGATGCATGATTGTAGGCATGATTGCAGGAGTCACTTTAATGAAGAAGTGCAGAGGGATAGAAGATAGATAAAATAAGTATTAATGCACAAATTGAAAGAACAGGCAGTATTGCAGTTCACTGAAATTGTACTAGTCAAATAATAAAATAAACTATATAATATAACTAGATAATCAACATTATAACTTTGAGATTAAAACTATGCTGGTCACCTGCCATGTTGGCCAAGTACTTTTTGCGTTGATATTTAAATGTACTTTATGTAATCAGAAAGTTACATTGACAATTGTTTACAAGTAAGTAAACAATTAGTTAGTACAGACAGTATATCATAGAAATAACAGTTATGAAATTTAAAATGTTGTAATAAAATTGCAACATACATAGAGAAAACCGCACACAAAAACAAAAGGTATAGATAGGAAATTCAAGCATATTATGCAAAAAACCTATCTTTATTTTTCAGGTCTGTCCTACAGGCCTATTTAGATGAGTATTTTCTGACCTAACGGTATAACAATTGTTAACACTTGCACTGAAAATGTTATTGACCAGTCACCAATCTTACCTGCTTTTGACTTCTTAACTAAATGTTATATCTAATTAAAAAAATTGGCCAATCAGCCTTTAGTCAAGAAAATTCAAATTATTTTTGTCTGAATGTTGACACTGTCCTCTGGACATTCTTATGGAGGTCAAATCTGAGCCTGGTTATGGTGTTGCTTCTGGTCTTGGTTTTGTTTTGTATTGCCAGAGACATTGTTGATGTATTTTGTTGTTCCAAGGAAGTAGTAAGTTGTCTGGACAGTGCTGTATTATGTACTTATTATCATCTACCAATTGCCCTTTAGAAAAGTGAAACGTTAAACTATTAGCGTAAAGAAACAGATACAGAGCAATACTATGTACATGCAGTAACAGTAGAACATGTGTAGCATCGATGCTAGTTAGCTGACAGCATCCTGCATGCTGCTGAGGCTGCGGTACAGGCGTCACCAGACAGTTAGCCTACCTTCACATTAGAAGAAGTTAGTGGACCCGCTGCAAGGCCAAATAAGCCCATGTAAATGGCTTTATTACAAATATAAGATTTTAACATCACACTGGTGAAGTTCCTGAACTCCACCCACAAGGAACGTCATGTTTCTGCGTCCATGGCGCTCGAATGACGTAGGATAACACGAGTTTGGTTTTCCTGCTCCGTCGGTTGGATTTTCAAAATAAAATAATATAAAGCGCTACTGTGAAAAAGAAAACCGTATAGAAATGTATAATAAACAAAATACCTATACATATATAAACAAAAACATACAATACATTCAGCCTCTGACTGCCAACTTCGTATTGTCAGTATACGGACTGACTACTGACAATACGAAGTTGGAAAACATCCACCATCTAAAGCCAATTTTATTTTGAAAGGAACTGATATCTTTCACTCTCGTCTGCTAGCTTGCTACAGGACCGGTCCATGTTGTCACTGTGCTGATCAATTATGTGAATTCAGCTAATGGTTTTCTTCTTTTCCTAACATAGCACGTTGTTTTCATGGCTATGACGTTTTCCGTCTTTGCAGTGGATGTCAGACAGCTAGTCTAAATACGAAGGTAATGCTACTGTTATTATGCTCAGTTGTACGTTAGCTTAAAGACGGCTAATATTTAGCTAACTCTACCTCTAAAATTAACAATGGTTTACTATGAAACGTTAACGTTCTGTTAAATTGTTTTGCAATGGTACCTACTTAGATATACGGGGGACTTGTGAATCTTACGGAAAACATGCCCTAACATACCGCTAGTGTATGAAGCAGGACTAGTTTTTTATTTAGCTTTTAATACAGTAAATCATACTGTTAGTTTAGTGGTCGTAACTGTATTCCTTTGACTTCAGTTATTTTGTCATTGACTGTGGCCTTCCCACTCAGTCTGTCAATGTCCTTGGACCATGTTATTAATAGATAGTCACTAAAATACGCATTACAGGAAATGATTGAATTCTCATGTGATCTACTCATTCTGCTTTTATCTCTTAACTTATCTCTACTTTAAATCTATCATCTTGTTTTTCCTCAGTGGTCTTGGAGGCTTCATGCTGTCCATTCCTGTCCCTGTCCTGTGCCAAGTGTCAGCATGGATGAAGGAACCCTGGAGGCAGCCATCAGTGCCTATGGTGCCCAGCTGCAGCAGGTGGAGACCGCCCTGTCAGCTGGCCTGGACCCTTCCCAGCAGTCAGACCTGCTAAAACTGAAAGAGGACCTCAGTCAGCTGATAGAGCTCACCGAGTCCAGCCTGGTGTCTGTCAAAAAGAGTAAGCTTCTGGCCAGCCTGGAGGACATCTATGGATTTCAGGCGAACACCTCAACGGCAGCAGCTGGCACAAACGGAGCACACAGCAGTTTGAACGATGAGTTTGCTGCTTTCTACACTGAACTCGGGGGGTCGTCAGGTAGTAGCTCTGACACTAGGGAGAAGGACAATGAGGAGGAAGGTGGGGTAGAGTATGGTGAGGATGAGGAGGAAGAAGAAGAAGATACACTCAGTGGCACCAAAGTAAGAGCACCGTACCGGACATCATGGGGGACATTGGAGTATCACAATGCCATGGTGGTGGGGGCAGAACCAGCAGATGGAGAAGAGGCACAAGTTAGAGTTTTCTACGTCTACCCCACCCAGAAGTCTATGAAACCCTGTCCATATTACCTGGAGGACAAATGTCGCTTCCCGGATACTTGCAGGTAAAGTTCCAATTTTTACACTAAGACCTGCAAGGCGTTGTTTTATTGTCAGTATTTGCCTGCCTCCAGTGTAATAGCAGATATCCTCCAGCAAGTGTCACCCATTGTCCACACAATGCAGGCTGACCATAGCTACAGAAATCAGTCAAAAACTTGAGAAATGTTCCTTCTTTTGCTACTTTTATTAAAAATTGAGTTGTCCCCCTATTGATCTGCTTGTTATTTGGTTACCCAGGACTTGTCTAAATGACTGTATAGTATTTTCACAAATGGGAAAACATTAATATAGATTCTATTACAGTTTGAGCTTCAACAAGCACTGTAAAATCAGCTTTATCTAATTTCTGTCTTCTGCTTCTTGAAGGTTTTCCCACGGTGAAGTGGTGTATGTGTCGGAGCTCAGAGAGTTCCTTGAGTTCGACCTGAGCAATCTTGAAGCAGGCTCGTCCTGCTTGGCTCGACATGAGGACGGCCTCTGGTACCCTGCCAAAATCAAAGGTATTATGATGACAGGGCCAGGTTTTCATCATGAATTTTAAAACAAACTCACAGTTTTGGCAGTAAGTGTCCACTATACTGTGATATACTGAATGTAAAGTATCCAATAGATACATTTCCTTGACAATCAAAAGTTATCTGAATACCATTTACAAAAGGTAATATAATAAGTTAGTTTAAAACTTTTTCTGACTAAACTTTTCTGTCTTCTCTCACTGTAGAATTGGACAGTGGTTTCTTCACTGTGAAGTTTGACTCGGTGTTGCTGAAAGATGTTGTGGTGGAGGCCGACTGCATCATCCCTCCTTTGAGAGAGGACGACCTGCCCTCCTCCTCTGACTCTGACGACAGTGGAGATGAAGATGAAGATGATGTGGTTTTTGCAAAAGGTGTCTATGGTTATGAGTTGCTATACCTGCCAATCAAAGCCAGAACTAGTCTCAGAAACATTTTTTTTTTAAAGCTGGTAATGCAATGTATGTGGAAGTAAAGTTTTGAATTTGAGTGAAAGTTGTGTAACTAACTATTTCTTCTTGGTTTTCACTTGTTACCCAATAGTTATGGACTCCGCTGTAGATCCCACAGAAATGTTAAGAAGTGCAGATTTCGGTGGCTGGGAGGCCCACACCAGAGGCATCGGATCCAAGCTCATGCTCAAAATGGGTTATGAATATGGGAAAGGTAAGACCAAGTGCACATGAATCACATTTCAGTTTCTAAAGTGGTAACGTCCTGTTCTGATCGTGGCACTTATTTATTGATTTATTTTCTATCTTTTTTTAGCAAGATAACTGATTTACTGCACTACTCTCCATACAAATGTCTCACCAGCATTAAAGGAAGGTCATAACAAGTTTAAGAAACATTAGTTTATATCTTCTTTGCAACGTGCATGCTAAGTGCCTTAGTTGCGTTGTCATCTTACAGAAAGAAGGTACGGGTAAGAACACGGACAGATTTTGCATGTTTCCCCCAAGGTTTCCTCCTTCCCTAAACACATGCATGCTAGATTTACTTAATCTGTCCGCCTCTGCCCTTAACAAAGCATTGGCTTTAGAATTTAAGTTGGTCCCTACGCTCTGCACTGTGCTGCACTTCAATATTTAGGAAGGGTTAAATGCGGAGGAACAATTTGGCTGAGCGCCCAGGCAACAAAACCTCAGTGGGATAGGTGCTGTGTAAATAATCAATATCATCGCAAAAGAAGGAGTACCTCACATAAGCCAGGACATCCTTATAATGAGTTTAATGATAATTAATATAGATAGGTATGGAAGTTTGATTGAAAGGGGGTCTTGCAAAAAACTCAAATCAATGGGTCACAAAAGATACAATAAAAAAAAGTGTTGATTTGATTTTAGTAACTAGATTGGTATTAGGAGACCTTCAGCACGGCTGACGCATTCATATGCGTCGGGTCGTCCCATTTCAAGAATTAAAAAGTAGTTCATATGACTTTGGTGTGTTCATGAGCTTTTACTATGTGAAAGAGGTGCTGGAGCCAGGCAGTATGATAATTCATTTATTGGACATTGAAGCAAGTAAACATGTCTTAATTAGGGGTCCTGAAAATGAGCATAATATGTCCTCTATAACATGTCAAATTTGCAGAAAAGTGTAACGTGTGTCCCTTGTGTTTTCTCAGGCTTAGGAAAGACGCAGGAGGGTCGACTAGAGCCAGTCATGGCAGTCGTCGTGTCTAAAGGGAAGCCTCTGGACGAGTGTCCCGAGCTCACCCCGAGACGACCCCGCATGAAGTCTGCCAAAGATGGCAAGGGGACAGGCCGCCCGAAGAGGAAGCCTCGACGCAGAAGGCCACGGGGGGGCGCCACAGGGGGGCGCAAAAACGTCTTTGACTTTCTCAACAACAAGCTAGGAGGCAAGAGTATTGGTCCTGCTGAGGGGGGGGCTGCTGCTGCTGGGGTAGCGGCCGGGGTGGAGGCTTACAGGGGGGGGAAAAGCATAAAGAGGACTCTGAATGTAAAGGTGTTCCAGGCTGCTGAGAGGGTGTCCCAGACTGAGAGGGAGATCCAGAAACTGACGCAGACCCTCAAGAGACAGACGGGAAGGTCAGTACGGATCAGTTGTTCATTTATTATATGTCTAATCTGACTTCTGTGAAGGCTGGGAGCTGAACCAAGAGCCCAAACAATCATAGATACAGAAATGCACGGCTATAATTTATTCTGGGATATGAGCACACTACAGGCTACAGAGCTCCTGTCAAGATGGCCCGTGGGAGTTGTGAGGAAATGTAAATAAGCTGCAAAGTTCCGAGGCTAGAAACTCATTTCCGTTGCCGACTCATTCTGGAAAGTGCAGCTAAAACCAACCAGTGTCTTCCCACTTGCTAATCTATTTGTTGTTTGTGTGCGCAAAGGGATGCCTCCAGAGTGAAGCAGCTGGAAGAGAAGCTGTCAGCGGCCCGCCGGCTGCTGGCCCAGCAGAAAGCCCAAGAGCTGTCCGTCCAGGGCGAGCACAGGAAGTCTGACACACACAAGAAGATGACAGAGTTTTGAAACTCAGTTCTTCTTAAAGACTCAAAGAGGGTAACTGGAAGCACGGCCTGCCTGAAATGAACTTTTGTCCCCCACCTGTTGTCAGTTATTTGCTCCAGACATTTATTTTAACATTTCTCTCCAGCATCATGGATTCAAGCTGGCAGCCATTTTATGCAGAATGCAGCATTTACTAATCAATTCTGATTCTCATTTTATTTTGAAGCACAGAGCGGTTTATTTTGTTCGATCGCTTGGTTTAAAATTGTACAGTTCACACTTATGTTACAAACCTCATTTTGTTTGTGATGAGCATTATGTCTCAGTGTATTTTTTGTCTGTTTATTTCTTTTTACTAACCTTATCATAAAAACCCTGTTTGAAGAAACTACAGTGCATTGTTCTTTATTTTTTAGCTACACACTGTTACACAGCTGAGACCTAAGTGAAAATAAGTTTTTCTCTACCACAGAATACTAAATGTGGTCTTTTGTTATACTTTGCTGGCCAGGAGCTGCTTCGATGTTTAGTGCAGTATACCTTGACGTGGTTTTCTGACTGACTTTTAAATTACATCCTCAGGAGTTTGGAGACCTTTAACAGTTTTGAAGTGAAGCCCCTCTATTCGCCCCCGCTTCTTACCAGCTCGTACGCAGCGTCTTTGAAGCTATGACCGTAACTTCTCTGTTAAATAATGAATTTGGGGAGCAGCTTGTCTGCTCGTACATCGGCCATTGTCTGTAGGCGGTGGGTGGGTAGGGACAGCGTCTACCTTGCTTCCCTTCATTCTCAAGTAAAAGGTTAGGTAAGTCTTGTTGTTAGGTAGCTAAAAATTAGGTCTTCATCCTTTTTATAGGGCATTTCCTACTTTGAATGTGATATAAATAGTTTTAAAAAACAACACAAAACTAGTATATTTGCTGCATATATGAAACTTGTTTTTAATTAAATGTTTTAAGTATAGGTTCCTACGGAGCCCCCTAGGGGACATGGAGAAGAAAAAAAGAAAAAATGTGAACAAAAAAAAAAAGGTTTTGCGAGATCTCGCAATCCTTTTTTTTTTTTTCACTTTTTTTTTTCTTCCAGGTCCAGGCTTAACAGACAGGTGGAGGTGATGACTTCTGCTAGTGGAATTTGGAATATTGCAGAAAATCAGTCCTCCGTCAAAGATGTTATTTTTTTTAGATATCCTACCATTTGTTCAGCGGACAACCTTAACATATTAATGCCACTTTTATAATAGCTATGTGCTGTGAATGCAACTGCCACAAGCATAAAGCTAACATTAGGCTGTAAAAAACGAAATGGCGGTTAGGCCTACATGACTTCATATCACCATTGCTAAGCTAAAGGTGGCTAATGTCCAGCGGGAAGACGTTTGGCAGTCTTATTTAGCCACTTGTTAGAAACCACTTTCTACCACACCTAAAAACTTCAGACATTCACTAGTGGGGAATCTACTGAGTTTGAACAATTTGTGAACAATTTTGTGTCAACTACCAGACCTTTTATTCGGGAATCTAACCAATATCAATAAAAAAGGAAGCCTGAAAATGCTGAAGTGCATTACCAGGTTAAGGACTTATTCCTGAACCATTCTATTACAGGGACACTCTTCTCGTCATTATTATGGAGACCCAATTGTTTTTTTTTCAGGCTTCAAGTACATTTGGCGGGTTTGATGTCCAGCTAAACTTAATCTGCATAGACAGAGGTTTAAACATCCTGCTGTATGTGTTTGAACTTTATAGCCACATGTAGGGAAGAACGGGGTAAATTGAGCCAGTGGGTAAATTGAACCACCCCCTGTAACCAGGCCTTATAGTTGTAATCAAGTGACCAGAAGTTATGCAAGCTCCACCCATTTCTCATTACCTGTGAAAGAGAGATACTCATTGTGGTCTGGTAAGTAAACATTTTTACAAAAAAACGTTTTTTGCTTGTCAAAGTACATTTTCCAGATGTCAGCTATATCGGCTGTCATGTAAAAAAAAAAGTATCCAGGTTTAAACACATATATTGTATATGTTGATGTGTTGGCAGCGTATTAAAACATGTGTAAGCTAAAGATGACTCTGAATTTTAATGCTAAGCTATTTTTGTAAAATGGTGGTTATGGGGTAAAGTGAACCATGGGCCTTGGGGTAAGTTGAGCCAGTTTTTCAATGGAGAAATTAATGAAAGTAGGCCAAGTTGATAATAAGAGCTCATTGTAGGCTACATTTAAAGATGAATTTAACCTGTGTTTGATTGGTAAGATGTATGAAATTGTATCACCATTTGTATGATTACTTTTCCTTTTAACATGTTCAAAAAAAATCAATCAATTCAATCGAAATTTATATAAAAAATATTTGAAAAACTAAGCTTGTATTTGGTTTGTTATTTATTGTTTATAGTGCCAAGGCACACAGGGGATAGGTTTGAACAGGTATGCCCAGGTTTGAACAGTGGTTCAATTTACCCCCTGACCTGGATCAACTTACCCTACACTGGGCAAGTTGAGCCACATGACCTTTTTTTTTTAAAGAAGTAATATTTTCACTGCCCTTGATCAAATATGAATTATTATCATTGCCATTGATAGGAGACATCCTGAATTATAGGTGTATGTTTTCATTTTTACTATGTGTCATTTCTCCTTGTTTAGAGGACAGCATAACAAAAAAATGGCTCAATTTACCCCACTCTCCCCTACTGTACATTGATTCATCAAGGATCCCAGTCTGTCAATGAGCTTGTCTATTTCACTACAGGCAGATTTCACTCACTTGCTATGGCAGGCGCTGCTAGTTTGACAGCAAGGAAACATGACTAGGGGGTGACATTACTTTTCTGATGAGTTGAGTATCTTGATGTCGATGGCATCAGCTGGAAGGAACGCCTGGCTGTAGCACACGAAAAATGAAATCCCTTGACATTATTATGATGAAACTGCCACTCAGATTGATTAACTTGTTAAATTAAGTTGCCAGAAAGCAGTTCCAGATGGCCGCAGCCCACTTTAACCTGTGGTTACATTCCCCCAATGCAATGACAGTGCAAAACGCTGAATGCAAGAAACCAAACTATAAACTTGATAATTAGCATAATATGTCTCCTATAAATAAATATGCTGAAGTAGTCAATGAAAAACAGCTATAAAACTGGTGACCATCAGCAAGTCACAGCGCGAGTGTTGTCCCTAAGGGCAGTGAATATCTCATGGTAAAGTGATACAACCCAGTCTCACGGCATTTCGTGTTATAGTCACGACATTTAATCTATTGATTCGTGTTCACCAACACGATTTTCCCCTTTTTTTTCGTGTCAAACAGAACGATTTTAAAAGCAATGTATTTCTATTGGTAGTATGTTTCGTGCCTGCAGCACGTCTTTTTGTCCATTCCGGTCTTGGAAGACCGGAAGCTGTGGGGCTCATAAAAACATGTTCTTACTCAAATATCGTATAATGTCGGATTTTTTTTGTCTTCTGTGAGGAAAAGAAATGGGGCTCAGAGCCTCAGAATACTGAAATCTGTATTTTTTTAAATCTTCTTTTCCTTCTAATTTTTTATTCTTTTCTAAATAACACATTGTTATTTACTCACCAATAACACACAATTATCCTTGTTTTTATTTATTTATTTTAATTCCATAATCTCTGGCTTTTTTGGCGTCCGTCAGGAACTGAATTTCAAAAATAAAAATAACCGGAAACAGACGTAGGCCTATAAGGGACATTTCGAGCATCATTGCGATGCACAGCATAGGCAATAGCTCACGACAGGCCGTGGTATATGCTCATTATATCACAGCTAAGGGGCGTGGTTCGGCCCGACGCGAAGCGGAGGGTCGACAACCCCCTTAGCTGTGATATAATGAGCATATATCACGGCCTGAAGTGAGCTATTGCTTTTTATAAAACGGTTACCAAGTGTGGCAATATGAAAGACAAATACACAGTCTAATTTAAATAGTTTTTATTAGTAAATAATGATGTTCAAAATAAAATAGTCCCTCCGTTGCCTTCTGCACAAAACATAGTGCGAGGTGGTTGCTATGCAACAACACTAACAGCGAGCGAACATATTAGACAGAGAGCGTTGATCCATTATTTGGCTGTTTATTTACAGTAATGTGTATGTTGCTGTTTATTGTGCATCCACTGAAAAACTGTCCAGCATCAGTAGCATGGCTTACGTGGTCACTTGTATAGGTTGAGGTTGTTCGAGGCTGTTGCTTGGCGTGGCGAGAATATTGCTCCACTTTCTCCGGTCCCCGAGATTGGGCTTCCTATAGCTCTGGAGAGAGCTTTCGAACCTGTGGCCGCTAACGGTCATAATTTCTCTGCTTTGTTTCAAGACCCGCATCAGAAAGCTTTTGAATGGTGGTACTTTTCCAGTTGGTCTACCTGCTCTTCACGTAGCTCTGCACGTCGTAGTTTAGGTGCTTTTTTTTCTGGAGATAGGCACTGCTCAATCCACTCCTCCATACTATAGTAAGACCCCCCTGGAGGTCGAAGTTAACCTTAAATGTTTCCATTTTATGCTTTGTAAATTTGTTTCGTAACGGAAGAAATTTAAATATATTTATAAAACTGACAAGTAAAATCAAGCAATCTGATTGGTCGATAGCGTTTTTGCGGACCTCTTTGATTACAGATTTGAAAACATCGTTGCTTGCTTTAAAAGTAGCACAATTCATTATGTTAAACCTTCAAAAGTATCTAGATATCCCTGCCCTAATGCCAAAGGAACTGCACACTGAATATGTTTTTCCGTTTGATGTCTATGTCTGGACCGCTGCGTCAAAAAGGAGGGCTTCTGCTCCGTTACTTCTTACTGCTTTCTTGTTCCAGTATGACATTTTCAATCTAACGGTATACTGTTTTTCTCAGACGCGGAGGGATACTGACTTGTTGTGAAAAGTAATTTACAATTCTACCCGTGGTATACGCTCAGTATATCACGGCTGAGAACCAATCAGATTGCTTGATTTGACTTGTCCGTTTTATAATTAAGCAATAGCTCACGACAGGCCGTGATATATGCTCATTATATCACAGCTAAGGGGCGTGGTTCAACAACCCCCTTAACTGCTTCAAATAAATGGGGGTACGGCGTACCCCGCGTCCAACGACCACTACACCATTGTATATGCAATGAATGAACAACTTGGGTCGCAGTGAGGTTCCTCAACAGTGCATTACAAGACATCTAACATTATGCGTGTATACCTCCACCATTAAACTGTCATATTCTGCACATTTCTTATACTATCTACATACATAAGAGTATAATTAATGTGTATAATATCAGTTAGAATAAGTGCTTCAACATAGTTAACATTGCAGGAAAGCAATATTTTACGTTAAGTACTTTGTCATGCTTAATGTTTTGCAGCTCC